CAGCCAGTTCCTCCTCGTCCTTTTGGAGTGGTTCAGAAGCTGCAATGTCTGATGGCAGTGTCGTCCTTGTGCTTCTGTCCCCATCCCATGTCCCCATGAGGGATCTGGGGTGCACACCAGGGCTGTGTCTGACCCCCGTCCCTGATGTCCCCCCAGCTCGCCCAGAAGTACGACCCACAGAAGGAGGCTGAGCTGCGGACATGGATCGAGAGCGTCACGGGGCGCCAGATCGGGCCTGATTTCCAGAAGGGGCTGAAGGATGGGGTGATCCTCTGCGAGTGAGTCCTGGGACAATGTCCCTGGCCCCTGCTCTGGGTGGGTGGGGATGGGGAACACCAGCTCTGCAGGGGGCACCACCAGCCCTTGGAATGGGAAGGATGGGCTGAACCTGTGCCAGTGGGACCTGCCAGAGGTATCTCCAGCTGTCGTCTTTGGGGAGCCCTGGGAACCAAGAGGGACTTAGGGGGGATTTGCCTCACATGGGGAAGGACTGGTCTGGACCTTCCCAAAAGGGGCCCATGCCCTGCATCCCCCCCATGGTCTCTGCCCTGCATCCCTCCAGGCTCATGAACAAGCTGCAGCCCAACTCTGTGAGGAAGATCAACCGCTTAGCTCAGAACTGGCACCAGGTAGGTGCAGCCCTGCTGCCACCCACACCCTGTCCCTGTGCCATTACCACCTGGGGCTCACCCCTCTCCCCGCCCACAGCTCGAGAACCTCTCCAACTTCATCAAGGCCATGGCCAGCTATGGCATGAACCCTGTGGACCTCTTTGAAGCCAATGACCTGTTTGAGAGTGGGAACCTGACACAGGTGCAGGTGTCACTGCTGGCTCTGGCGGGAATGGTGAGTGTGGGGAGACAAGTGGCTTGGGAGGGGGCTCAGTCCCACAGGGACCCCCAGCTTGGGGTGGAGCCTGTGGGAACCTGCTGCTCTCCCTGCCCAGGGAGAGGGGGAGGAGGGTCTGGGACCCCCATCCTTCCTCACTGCCCCTTCTGGCAGGCCAAGACGAAGGGACTGCAGAGTGGTGTGGACATCGGCGTGAAGTACTCGGAGAAGCAGCAGAGGAATTTTGATGAGGCCAAGATGAAGGCTGGGCAGTGTGTGATTGGGTTGCAGGTGGGCAGCCCTGCAGGGCTCCAAGGGTGGGGAGCTGGGTGAGGGGTGCCCAGTTCTATCAAACCCCAAGCACATCTGGGGGAATCAGAGGCTCAAGGTGCCTCAGGTGTCCTCAGTATGTGGGAGCATCGTGGTTTTGTGTCCAGCACTCCATGGCCATGAGCCTGGGACGGGTTATGGAGCACTGTCTGTGGCCCCTGGGCTGAGGGGTGGTGGAGAGGGGGAAGGAGGGGCACAGGTGGGGCAGCACATGCTCCTCACCAGACCCCTTTGTCAGATGGGCACAAACAAGTGTGCCAGCCAGTCTGGCATGACAGCCTACGGCACCCGGAGGCACCTCTATGACCCCAAGAACCAGATCCTGCCGCCCATGGACCACTCCACCATCAGCCTCCAGATGGGCACCAACAAGTGTGCCAGCCAGGTGAGTCCCCACGCCGGGCTGGGGAGGGCAGGGGGATCACAGCTGAGCCCTGCTCCATCCGTTCCTTCCTTCCAGGTGGGCATGACAGCTCCCGGCACCAGGAGACACATCTACGATTCCAAGATGGGAACAGAGAAGTGTGACAACTCCTCCATGTCGCTGCAGATGGGCTCCAACCAGGGTGCCAACCAGAGCGGGCAGGTCTTCGGCCTCGGCCGCCAGATCTACGACCCCAAGTACTGCCCACAGGGCAACCAGGGTGAGGTGGCCAATGCTGCTGGAGACCCGAGCGGGGACCCCCCTGGGTACGGCTACTATCACAAGGAGGAGGAGAGTTACTGAACGGGATGGCACCGGCCCTGTCCACACCATCTGCTGTGCAGCCCCACTGCCAGCCACATTCCTGCCTCTACTGTCGTCAGCATTCCTTCTTTTTAAACTCTTTTTAAACTTTGGAAATTAATCTATTTTTCTGAGTAAGGAAATAAAGACCCTGTTTCTAGAGAGGAGC